GAAGAATTTAGAGAACAAACAAAAGAAGAAAGCATTACAGAGTGAAGAGAGACGGAAGAAGAGAGCCGAGGCAGCAGAAAATAAACCACCTGAATCAAAAACAGCTGATGTGACCGTAGAGAGAGATATTTTGCCAAAAGAACAACCAGCTGATAAACAAGTTATTCAATCCGCACTTGACCAGCAAAAAAGGCGTAGTGTTCGACAAAAGCCATTACCCAGCAAGGAACCAAGTTCAGATAGTAAGAAGAGCAAAAACACAAAAAAGAAACCGGTGAAGCAAAATGCAATTTGCGATCGAGCATTGCTTGAAAAACGAAAAGCAGGTGCACGTCGCGCAAAAGAATTTAGAGAGAGACTAAAAATGGATCCTGTAAAAAGAGAAGAAGCACGGAAAAAAGAAGCAGAACGTGCTAGAGAGAGACGTAAAAGTGGCAAAATTAAAACTATATCTGCCATGAGTGATAGAGAAAAAAGAAAACAACGCAAAAATTGGAGAGAAAGTTATCACCGTACGGCAGAAAAGAAAAAAAGAATTCGAGAAGGCGAGACTTTTATGCATCAAAATTCCCCTCCTGCTTCACCACACAGAAACGATGAGGATCCGCACCCAGTAAACGATCAAGGCGCAAGAAGAAGAAGAAGAATGCAGCGCAAGCGTAGATCCGAAGAAAAACAAAAAGAGCAAGATCAGATGAATGCTACAGCACATGCTAAAAAATTGGCTGAAACTTGGAAGAAGAGATATTACCGACTGAAGCAGTTTCAAGAAAAACAAAATGCGCAATCCCCTTCCCCTAACAAAATTGCAACTCAAACAATGAAAGAAGGTACCGAGTCGGTTAAAAAGAATCTACTGGAATTTGAAGTTTTGAAGAAAAGCCTTACTTCTCCAAGTACTTCCGAAAATCCTAAAGATAAGCTTCAAAAGAAAACTGCTGTTGCTGAATGCCTTCTTTCACGAAAGCGTGACTTGGAAAAGTACAAATTGAAGACTGTATTCAAGGGCCTGACCGGTTGGCGGAAAATTTTCACGAAAACCCCAAAAAATTCGGCTGAAAACGAAGGGATCCGCAAGAAGTTTAATTTCCTTCGCAAAGAAATTAGAAAGTTTTTCGAAAATGATGACAACTCATTTTTCGCTCCGGGCAAAAAAGATACAATCACAAGGAAGAAAATAAAGCGTCAGAAAAAGTACTTGAGTGAATCTTTGATCGAATTACACAAAAAATTTAAGGCTACCAAAAATATTTCAGTTTCTTATTCTTTTTTCAGATTATGCAAACCTTTCTACATAGTGCCTTTAAAGCTGACCGAAAGAGAGACGTGCTTATGCGCTACTCATGAGAATTTCCGGTTTCTCTTTCAAAAATGCAAGCAGTTAAAATTACTCAATTTCTCATCTCCCTCGCAACTACTTCAGTCTCTTTGTTGCAATTTCAAAAATTTAAATTGCATGTACCGACTTTGTAAAGAGTGTAAAAACAAAGCCATTATTTTTGAAAAGACTGACCTATCAGAAGACACCCCAGTTTTTTACCACAAGTGGGCCCGCTGCTCTGAGGAGAGAGAAAAAAATGGAAAAAAATTTATGGTTAAGGTGACAAGAAAACTTAAATGTAACTGTAGTATCAAGGAACTGAAAGAAACTTTGAATGATATACTTTTGCCTTATATGAAACATTCTTACAGGGTGTATCACCAGCTGACCTTCTCTAAAGATATGAAAGAAAAACTGAACGAGGATGAGGTGCTTATTATAATAGATTTTTCGGAGAACTACCAGCTTAAATTTACATCTGAAGTCCAAAGTTGTCATTTTGGCGCGTCAAACGCGCAGCTCACTTTACAAACGGGCGCTTACTATACTAACGACAAAAAAAGTACAACATGCACATCTTTTTGCTCTGTAGCTCAGTCCCCTCGTCACGACGCGGCAGCAATTTGGGGCCACTTACTTCCTGTATTTTCCAAAATTAAAAATGAACATCCTAGAGTGAAAAAAGCTCATGTGTTAAGTGACGGGCCCACGAAACAATATCGTAATAAATTCCAGATACATTTATTTGGCCACTATATGAAGCAGCTAGGCTTTGAACTTGCATCATACAATTTTAGCGAAGCGGGTCACGGCAAGTCCGTGGCGGACGGAGTTGGTGGAACGGTCAAAAGGACAGCCGACAGTGCAGTGCGTCGTGGAAAGGATGTTCCTGACATTGAAACTTTTGTCCAGGTACTAGAGAATTTAAAAATTCAGGTTTTTCAAATTGAAAATTCCCTAATTGAAGAAGTTGCTAAAGTCTTAGAAAAT